ATGTTTATAGGGGGCCAACCAATGACTTTTATGGTAGACACAGGAGCAGAATATTCTGTGGTGACCCAACCTGTAGCCCCCCTGACCAAGAAAAAGAGACTATTATTGGGCCTACTGGGGACTCAACTGCCCGTCATTTCTGCCAACCACGATCCTGTCAAGTAGGGGGCCATCTAGTGACACATGAATTTTTATATTTGCCTGAATGCCCAATACCATTGTTTGGAAGAGACCTTCTATCTAAATTGGGGGCACAAATAACCTTCATCCCCGGGAAACAGGCACACCTGACCCTACAGGGAGTGTCTATGATTCTAGCCATCTCAGTTCCCCGAGAAGAGTGGCATCTGTATGAGAGCAGAGAACTCCAGAAAAATCCTAGCAAACTCCTGGAAGAGTTTCCGTTAGTCTGGGCTGAAAATGGACTGCCAAGCTTGGCACATAATCAGGCAGCACTGATGATTGACCTCAAACCTGGAGCCAGCCCAGTCAGACAGAAGCAATATCCCATGCCTCGAGAGGCCCACCTAGGAATCCAGAAGCATATACAGCGCTTCCGACAAGAGGGAATCCTAACTGAGTGCAGATCTTCTTGGAACACACTGTTGCTCCCGGTGAAGAAAGCAGAAGGAACAGACTATAGGCCAGTGCAGGACTTACGAAAAGTAAATGAAGTAGTCACTACAATACATCCAGCAGTGCCAAATCCATACACTCTTCTGGGCCTCATTCCGACAGATACCAAATGGTTTACATGCCTAGACCTTAAAGATGCTTTCTTCTGTCTTCAACTCTCACCTGTGAGCCAGCCCATATTCGCATTTGAATGGGAGGATCCCCAGACCAGAGGGAAAACTCAACTGACATGGACACATCTCCCCCAAGGCTTTAAAAACTCACCCACCTTGTTTGGAGAGGCACTAGCCACAGACCTTGTAAAATTCCCTGGGGAGACATTGAACTGTACTCTGCTCCAGTATGTGGATGACTTGCTGTTAGCCAGCCCCAGTGAAGAGGACTGTTGGAGAGGAACTCGAGCCCTCCTAGGGTTACTCCAAACAACTGGGTACAAGGTCTCATGGAAAAAGGCCCAGATCTGCAAAAAGACAAATACCTGGGATTTATTATCTCAGAGGGACACCAAGCCCTAGGACCAGAATGAAAGCAAGTTATTTGCACCATACCCAGACCCGAAACAAAAAGAGAACTGTGAGAATTCCTAGGCACAGCTGGGTTTTGCCGGATTTGGATCCCCGGGTTTTCAAGACTAGCCAAGCCCCTTTACGAAGCAACTGCTGGATCAGGAAAGCAAACCCTCAAATGGGAAACTGAACAAAAAAAATGCCTTTAGGCAAGCCCCAGCACTAGGATTACCAGATATAACACGAGAGTTTAACCTGTTTGTACATGAAAGAGACCAAACCTCTCTTGGAGTCCTAACTCAGAATGTGGGGCCATGGCAGCGCCCTGTGGCCTATTTATCTAAAAGACTGGACCCTGTAGCATCAGGATGGCCACCCTGTTTATGGACCCTCGCTGCCACAGCCCTCTGGTCAACGGGGCAGACAAACCCACACTGGGACAGACTTTAAATGCAAAATTGCCCCATTCTGTGGTGGCCCTGATGAACAGCCCAGGTTACAAATGGATAACTAACACAAGGATGACCCCCTACCAGGGGCTTCTATGTGAAAATCCAAGAGTCCGTCTAGAGACTGTGTGAACCTTAAACCCAGCCACATATTTGCCTGAGGGGGACACGCAGCCTGACCACGAATGCGAAGAAATCATCGAAGAGGTGTACGTGAGCAGGCCTGATCTAACCGACAAGCCTCTGCAAAACCCAGACCTGGAACTTTTCACAGATGGCAGCAGTTTCATGCAGGATGGACAACGGTAAGCAGGTTACCCTGTAACAATAACCTGAGAGGTAATAAAGGCAGAGTCCCTTCCCCCAGGAAGGTCTGCTCAGCGAGCAGAGATCTGGTCACTGGTCCAGGCACTAAGGGAAGGGAAAGGAAAACGAGTCAATATATACACCGATTCCAAATATGCATTTGCAACCTTGCATGTACATGGAGCCATCTATAAGGAAAGATGACTTTTGACTGCTGGGGGAAAGGAAGTCAAAAACAAAGAAGAAATTTTACAGTTACTGGAGGCAGTATGGGATCCAAAGGAAGTGGCCGTTATTCACTGTAAGGGACATCAAAAAGGAAATGACCCTGTGAGCCAGGGGAACAGGCTGGCTGATCAAAAGGCAAAAGAGGCAGCCGCCTGGGAACACCCAGTAATTAAAGTTATGGCAGCGCCAGAGCTACCCACTGCCCCAGAATGTAGCCACGACAAAAACAAGTGGGCACAGGCCAAACAAGGAAAGAAAGGAAAGGACAGATAGTGGCTCATGATGAATGGAAGGGTTTTTATCCCAGAATGACTAGCTTATCGTCTAGTCCAACAACAACACGAGGCCACACATATGGGGAAAACGGCTTTGGAGGCCCTCTTAAAGCGATATTTCCTAATTTCTCATCTCCCTACTCTGTGTGCATCAGTCTCCCAACACTGCTTGCTCTGTGCACAAAACAATCCAAAACAAGAGCTCACTGGGCCAATGGGAATACAATGATGTGGACTGGCTTCCTTCAAAGATTTAGAAGTGGACTTTTCTGAACTTGGGCCCAGTGAGGAATATAAGTACCTGCTGGCTTTCGTCTGCACCTTCACAGGGTGGGTAGAAGCCTAACCCACCAGGACAGAGAAAGCAAGGAAAGTGACAAAGTCTCTCCTCAGGGATGTTATCCCTCGATTTGGAATGTCTACCTCCATTGGGTCTGACAATGGACCCACCTTCGTGGCAAAAAAATTGTACAGCAAGTGGCAAAGGCACTGAGCATCCGCTGGAACCTGCACACAGCATACCGGCCTCAAAGCTCAGGGAAGGTGGAACAAATGAACAGAACTCTAAAACAAATGATAGCTAAAATCAGCCAAGAAACCCAGCTCCCCTGGGTGAACGTTTTACCCCTGGCTCTGTTGTGAATTAGATGCACCCCAAGATTTAATATTGGGTACTCTCCCTTTGAAATCCTCTATGGGCAGCCACCACCTTTAGTCAGGATGGGAAATCCCACCCCAGAAATAGGAAATTTAGGGCTCCAACAACAACTGTTGGGACTAGGACAAGTACTACGAGAAGTTTGAGGTTGGGTAATAGAGAGAACCCCCATTTCGTTAGGGGTCCAAGTGCATCCCCATAAACCAGGTGACCAAGTATGGGTGAAGGATTGGAAAAAGGAACCTCTCAAACCAACATGGAAGGAACCATATTTAGTGGTATTAACTACCCCTACAGCTGATAAAGTTGCAGGAATCATCCCTTGGATCCACCACTCCAGGGTTAAGAGAGTGCCTTCACCTCAGACAGAGGGTCCCTGGAAAATTGAGAGTGTCAAGGGAGACCCATTCAAGATCAAGATCAAGAGGGACCAGAAAAGGATCGACGAGCCCTGCTCTAGCCACACCCGGAAGCTGGCTAGTCAATGCACGGCCGGCCGAAGCTTGAGGAAAGCTCAACGAAGCTGTTAAATGTATTTCTTTTGTGCTCCCTTGCCTCTTTCCTTGTTTGCTATACTAGTCTGCGTATTAGCAGTGGGGCTAGAGAGCGCCACCCCACCTGACTGGAACATAGGCCATAGAATCCTGGTGGCTATTTTATACCTTGTTATAATTAGTGCTGTCACTGCAGCATCATGTCTAAGATAATCATAAGGCTGATGTTACTGACGCTAATGCCCTCACTCTCCTTGGCTGTACAATGCACCTGCATGGAACCGGGTGACAGGTGGTCCATGTACCGACCTGTATTTTCAGCTTACAGGTGAATTCAGCCACAATCTCCAACAAATAGCAGAAGCCCTGGAAACTCTGCAAAATCAGGTTGACTCTCTGGCCGAGGTGGTCTTACAAAACAGGAGGGGTCTGGACCTACTCACGGCCAAAGAGGGGGGACTATGCCTCTTCCTAAATGAAGAGTGCTGTTTTTATGCCAATCAATCAGAAATTGTCAGAGGGATGGTTCAAGAGTTATAAGACCGAGTGGAAAATAGAAAACATTTTTTTACATAAGAGCCCATGGACAGGCCCCTGGGGCTGGACCTCTTGGCTGGCACCGTTCATAGGTCCCTTGCTCCTGATTTTTGCAGTTGTGCTATTTGGGCCCTGTGTCCTAAACTTCCTGACCTGCTTTGTCAGTGAGTGGATAGAGGCTATAAAACTTCAGATGTTAGCCTCCAATTATGAGCCCCTGCAACAAATAAGTGATGATGCTTACTCCAGCTAGGGTTGTGAAAGCATCAAGAGGGGGGAATGCGAAGGAAAAGCCGGGCTGGTCTAACAAGATAACTCACAAATCTAAGTGTCGGAATACTGATCTGAGTTCTGCTGGACTAACTCATAAATCCAAGTTAATTAGTGTTGTCTGTTCATGAGCACAGGGTATCTTTCCATTTATGTCTGTTTGTTATGAAAACGACAGGCCAGCCAAGAAACAAGCACCACTTGGAGGGTTGGAGTACTCAGATGTATTACGCCAGCGGGCTCAGAGGGGCTTCTGCTCCGAAGCTCTGAGCACCTCCAAGACGTGCACATGAGGTTTTATAGGGTAAAGTACAAGCTTGGGGTATTAGACCAATAGGCATGGAACAGCTTTAGCAGCATTATCATGGCAAAAGTGGAGGTGGGGAGGCAGCAAACCAACATTCCAAAGCCAGATATGTATCTTTGAAAACCCAGCTGGCTAGAAAAAAGCATGAACAGCAAACCAACACTAATTAACCTAGATTTATAAGTTACTCTAGCAGAACTCAGATCAGTATTCCAATACTTAGATTTGTGAGTTATCTTGTTAGCCCAGCCCAGCCGCTCCTTCACATTCCTAGACTTGTGAGTTATTTTGTTAGACCAGCCCAGTTTTTCCTTCACACTGTGAACCAGGGGAGGGACTGGGAGCCTCACCTGTGAACCAGGGGAGGGACTGGGGTCTCACCTGTGAACGAGGGGAGGGACTGGGAGCCTCACCTGCAAACCAGGGGAGGGACTGGGGTCTCACCTGTGAACGAGGGCTCAGCCCAGGGCGCTTCTTGTGGATGATGGTGGCCCAGTGCCAGCCCAGCCCAGGAAGGGCACAGCTGACCACGTGGCACATGGGAGCTCTGTTATCACCCTGCAGGGCTCACCTGGTGGCCATGGCACAGGTGGACATGAATGCAGAAGTCCCCACCTGCTCTGCCCAGCAGGCCTGCTCACTGTCTGAGGGAAATACCTCCCACATCCTCGGCAGGATGGGCTGTGTGGGCTCAGGGACTGGGACCAAACAGCCCCGGGTCCCTTTGCTCCTCCAGTCCCCCTGCTGGGGCTCCAGGGGCCATAAGAGCTTTGCCCTGAGAGGGGCTGGGGGTCTCACTCTGAAGACACTGCAGGTCACCACCCTTTCCTGAGGATCAGGGAGGCAGTGACCCGCTGTGGTGGGATGGCTGCTGCTGCCGCCACCTGAGTCTGCCTCAGGCCCTCCCTCCCAGGCCCCTGGTGGCAGGTAACCACCTGTTCTGGATGAGCCTGGATGTGGCCACCGCCCCTCCCCTCCCACCCTGGGCTCAGGGACGTCACCACACCAAGCTCCATAAGCCCCACAGAGGTGCAAAGGAAGGCGGACTGGCCTCAGGCCCATGTGCTCTGCTCACCCCTCCTACTTTGGCCCTGGGGTGAGTCTGCTGACCCGCGGGACCAGGGAGACATGTCACAGGCTCAGGGAAGCGGTGACCTGGCTCCAGGCGATGGACTCCACCGGGAGACCTGCCCTGCCAGCCCCAGCTCCGCCCCTCCTTATGTGGACCTGGTGAGTATCCCCTCCTGGTGGCAGAATCACCAGACACTCTGGGTCCTGCAATGTGAGTCCAGAGAGGAGACACAGGAAGTGATCAAAGGTGGCGCCAACTGTGGCTGCAGAGGCCCGGGTCACTCTGGCTCCTGCCACTGAGACCACAGGTCCTTCTTCGAAGCACTTCCTTCATCTCTGAGCTGCCCAGTAACGTGCTAGCAAAGTCCTCTTTTACTTCAGTCAGTCGCTTTCTCTTGCTCAAAACAAACACCCCAAGAGTAACTCCAGCAGCAGGCAGGGAGCTGACCTGCAGTCTTGAGGCCTGAGTCACCCCACCAGGCCTGCCTCTTCCACTGCCCGATGGGAATCACCTGCAGAGCAGTTCGCATCTGCAGGAGCCGTCTTGGATGTCGGGGAGGAGAAATGAACACTCCCCGCCCCAGGTTAATTCACTTCACCCGCCCCTACGCTGGGCAGACAGATGGGCCTCCTTGAGAGCCTGAAAGCTAAGCTCTGCCCACCCACCTAGGGGCTGAGCCTGCCTCAGGGAGAACCCTGGCCTTGTGTCCAGCACCACACTCACTGCCCCCACTAGAGGGGAAGCACGCTAGACCTGCCACTCCGGGTTCTGCACACCTTTCCTCCAAGACTTCTTCTCTCCTTCCTCAGGTCTCTGCACTGTCTCCCCGAGACCCTGAGCACTCCTCTTGGGTCTCACCCCAGGGCCTCCATCCTGCCATCGGCCTGGAAGACCCAGGGGCATGACATGCCCAGATCCCATGGGACAGTCCCACCAAGGGGACCCTGGTGATCTCAGCTCAGATGGGGCCTGGGTAGGATCTCCTTCCACACCCCTCCCACCTCCTGCTCCTGCGCCCTAGGCGGGGTGACACCCTCCAACACCGCTCCTTTCCCTGGCCCCTGAGACATCCTTTGTGCTTTCCGGGGACTCCATGCTGGCCAAGGGGTTCTTCCCAAAGTCCATGGGAGAGGGCAGGGGGTGCTCGAAAGGCCACCCCCAAACCTCCTCCCCCTCCACCCTAGTTTCTTCAACCAGGGGACAGACTGGAGGAAAGATGCGCATCTTGTGTTTGTGAGCCCCATGAGGGGCAGGGGGGGAAGAGACCCAGAACCAGATCCCACAGGATGACCTATAATCACCGCTGAATCTTCAGTCTCTTTTCAGACAAAATCCAGATTCCATAGAAATATATGTGACAGACCTTAAAGCCCACAGCACGGCCACCGATCCCAATGCCACAAATCTGATCAACCTGGTCCCAACACAGCTCAGTGAAAAAGGACACTGAGATGGAGGAAAACGGGAGAACTTGGACCTCCTGGGGTGACAACTGCTGCACCAAGGGCGCCCAGGGGGAGGTGGTGGGAAAGGTGGGTCTGATTGTGGCCCTGGCTCCCCTTTCATGGCCTCTGTGACCCCAGGCAGGTCACTGCAGCCCCTATGGGCGCTGTTTCAGCTAGAAAATCGGAAGCCAGGTAGCACCCACCGGGATAGTAGATGAATGGAAGGCAGGTGGCCGATGCCTGCCAGTGAGGCGGCAGTGGGGGCCCTGCACTTCGCCCCTACTCCCCATCCTTTGTAACATAAGGCTGCAGCTTCTCCCATCCAGGCCTGGAGCCCACTGCTCAGCCCCCTGCATCTGGGCAGACCCACCACCTCCCTCCCTCTCTCTCACACACACACACACACACAAAACATAATTCCAGGCCTGCCCACTAAGGAAAAGGCCACAGGAGCCAATAAGTCTCTACTGAGGCTGTCCCACCCTAGCCTACCCACAGCCAAACCACCTTCTGACCTCGGAAATGTGATCCAGGCAAGCCAGGCCAGCAGATCCACCTAGCCCCTCCAAAAGCTTGTGGGACACAAAAAGTGGTTGTTACACAGCAGTAGCTAACTGATGCATGCTTGGTGAACACTCATGGCTTTCCCTCCCATGGAGCAGACTGATGGTGGCCATCTGACAAAAGCTTTGGTGTCACATACAAATTCATCTAAGTGGATGTGAGCTGGACTTCCAAGTGGACTAGCATTCCACCCCAACTCAGCTTCTTAACCTCAGTGATACATTATCAACCCAGTGTCCACCCAGAGCCTGGGCTGTTCTCCTAGCCAACACAGTCCTTCAGCTCCCAGAGACGTAAGTGGCGTGCACTCACCCCCAGGTTGTCCCTGAGACGTGTGTCCCATGAAACATGGAGTGGGCACATGATAAATGTGGTTTTTCATCATTGTTTGTGACCTCACTCTTTCAATAACTGATCTGAAGCAGCTGAAACCAGCAACATGAACCCAGTGCTTTAGAACTGCCTTAAGAATATAATAATGTGATATCTATGATAATGTAACCCCCTGCTTCTACCCCAAACTGGCCCCTCTGAGGAGGACACTGCAACTCTGCCTCCCCCCCACTTCCTGAGGTTCATGTCAACACATCAGTTCACAGGATGGCGCTTGGTTTCCTGCCCTCCACAGGTTTGATGTGAAAGCAGTCTGGTGGGGAAAACCTCCCCTTGTGCCTATCAGAGAAGTTGCATGTGACAATTGCCTTTAAAATCAGGCTAGGAAAGTCCTCTGTCCCACAGGGCAACCCAGTGCCCTGTGAGATGCTGCCAGCAGGAACATCACCAGTTCTCCCTTTTTTGCCCTTGCTTCCAGGAAGCTCAGTACATGTGGCCACGTAGCTATTCTCTCTGAACAATGGTGGTGGTGCTCATTTTTTCCCTGGTTACAGAAAGATTCTTAGGGAATTTCTAACAAAAGGCAATAATATTAAAATAGAAAACCAAAGCTACAAACAGAAGGGGTCAGTGAGTTGATTAACAGCAAGAGAAGACCCCAGCCCAGCCGAGCAGATGGCTGACATGAGGCTTGTCCAGGGCTGGAATGTAACAGCTCTCTTCCCTGCTGGTCTAGACAAGGGGAGGTTGGCTGAGGGACGAGAATGCCTGAAAATGACCACAGAAAGAGGCAGAAACAAGAGAACAGGGAAAAAAGAAAACTTATCTGAGTCCCTGGATCCAGCAGTACCTGAAGCCAGACCTATCCCTCTCTAGGCTTTTTAGCTTTGTGACCCAATGAGTTCTTTCTTCCTTGAAGTTTTTTGAGTCAGTTTCTACCCCTAACAGACAAGATCCTTACTTTTGCTTCATTCTAAACAGACCCTGTGTTTCTGTCTTTGGAGCGAGCAATGTGGTCATTGAAGACCAGTGAGCCGCATGGTAGGTGGATCTCCTAGGGTCTTGGGCCTCTGGGACTTTCCAGTGCTCCCCACACTGAGGTCAGGACATCTGAGGATGTATTCTCAGGGGCCAGGGAGTCCGTGAGATTTTTTAAATGTTAGCCACCCATGCTAAGCAGAGTGGTAATTAAGCAAAGTCTCACGGGAAAGGCTATCCTAATCTTTGAGCACATCTAGGGGCTCACCACTCTGTTGACCACGAATATGATGCATCAGTCAGTAAACTGAACAAGTTATTAAAAACAAAAAATAATAATAATGGTAATGATGGAGGCTCGAATCTGGAAATTATAATATCCAGGTAGACAAAATAAAGCATAAAGAAGCCAGATACCCTTGTG